CTATGTTTAATATTGTGGCTATTCTGTCTCTGATCCCAGATAAGTTTATTAGGGTGCACAATATTTTGGGGAACACAATACCACCACACCCAATAGCAAGAAAGAGAAGTACGAGCCCAGACCAGAGTCTCAAATGCCTGGGCCATTCCTTTCCAGGCTGTCGTTCGCTAGCCTGACTGCACTATCCGATTTATTTTCCCCTCTACCATGACCTGCCTTCTAAGGTCCTGGACTTATTCGCTTACCCTCAAAGGAAGAAATTGATTAATATCAGACTAGTTAGTCCTTTGTAACCTGAATACTTAACATTGTATACACAATAGGTTGATTTTAATTGTTGCAGTGTGTGCTGGCTAATTTTATGTAAACCTGATATAAACTAGAGTTATCTGAAAGGAGGGAACCTCAACTGAGAAATATGCCTCTGTAAGATTAGGCTGTAGGCAAGGCTGTAGGGCATTTTCTTAATTAGTGATTGATGGGGGAGAATCCAGCCCATGGTGGGTTGGGCTATCCCTGGGCAGGTGGTCTTGGGTTCTATAAGAAAACAGGCTGAGCAAGTCATGAGGAGTAAGCCAGTAAGCACTCCTCCATGGCCTCTGCATCAGCTCCTGCCTCTACATTCCTGTTCTGTGTGAGTTCCTGTCCTGACTTCCTTCAGTGATGAACAGTGATGTGGAAGTGGAAGCCAAACAAACCCTTTCCTCCCCAAGTCGCTTTTGGTCACGGTGTTTCATCACAGCAATAGTCACCATAGCTAAGATACAGTGTCAATTTTTAGGAATACGGAAGCCATTTTGTGGGCTGTCATTTATCTCTAGTATTAGAATGAAGAGGGGGCTCTGTAGTTTTGGTGTAACCAAGTGCTCTGTGTTCTGCTCTTTCCACACAGGCAGAATCAGAACAGCAGTTTTTCAGCATGGCTGATGTGGTCACATGCTTTGGTAACTTAGCTTGTGAAAGGTTTCCCTACCCCGATATTGGGTTTCTCCACTGATGCAATAAATCAGATCAGGCCAAATTAAAGTCCAGGTTTTAATCTGAGCAAAGCATTCCCGGGTGGTCCCAGGGGAAGAAGAGAAACCACGAGGCTGCTCTCAAGAAAGGGGCCTTAAATACCCTCTGGGGGAGGAGCTGCTGCTTGGCGGATCTAGTTTATATCAGGTTTACACTTGACTTTCTCAGGGGCGCGGGGTTGGGGAGAAAGAGAAAGATGGGGCCAAGGTGGGGCTTCCACCTCAACAGTTTGTGTCTGTCCTAACACTTAGGAATAGGAGTCTCATGATTATTTTTTGGGCCATATTTTCTTAATTGCAAAACCGAGTAACTGGTGTGTGATCTGTTCATATGAGTTCAGTATTGATGTGGTACTGTTCTCTCTGATTCCTTTCCTATTTAACCCAGCAATCCTTGTTCAGGGGATTCTAGCCGGCCCAAGCATGGCAAACATAGCTCTGGCAGGCCTTGCTCTTCTCCCCCATTCCTCTGCCTTTCTAAAAACTGTTAGATTGCACTCCTAAAGCTAGCCACCAAGGTCTACTCCCTTACTTGGCCACTTCCTCCTCCTGAGGCTGACCACCAAGGTCCAGCTATCAAACTATTGAAGTCCAGCAATCAGAAACCCCTTTTGGCTACCCTAATTAACATGTTCAATTAAAATTAAACACCTCATTCTAACACAGGGTTCCCCTTTTACCTTTATAATCACCATTTTCCTACAGGCCATGTCTGTCTCCGCTCCATCCAGAGGCAGTCCTTTGTCCTGGACAAATACCCGCTTCCCCTCTCCCTTATTCCTTCCCCTTCTCCCTCATCCTCTGTCTCCTGTCTCTGTCTCTTACTCCCTGCCCTTTGTCCCTTTAGTGCAAATAAATTCCTTTGTGCTGAGAACTTGGTCTCGGGGGTCCTTTCACTTCTTTCTTACAGGTCTGCTTTCTGAGCCCAGGAAGAAGGAGGAACTGGTACTTACTGCCAAGATCAGTACACACCATTCTGGCCCGTCATGGAGACCAGTTTCCTATCTGAAAGAGAGAAGCCACATACGGTGCTCACTCTGGAAAACAGTGAAAATGGAGGTCACTGCTATTCTTGGTTGCGCAGAAATAAAAGATTTCCGGGAGTTGGGGCTGGAGGTTCAGGGTCATATTAACAGATGTTTCTTATTTCTCTCTTGCCTGCTTGGCTTTGTCTCTAGTTGAGGATAATGGTATTAAACACAAACACACACACACACACACACACACACACACACACACACACACACACAATGTGTAGGTACAGGTTTAGTTATATGTAGTCCCTGCTTCTTGGAACTACCAGAGAAGACAAATAGTTAAGTAAACTATCAACGCTAACTAGGTAAAAATGTGCAAAATGCTGAGAAGTACAGGATGCTATAACGGCATATAATTCCTGCCTTGTTCTGGGTGGTTAGGGAAGGCTCACTTTCCATGAGAGAAATGGGATTTCAGCTGACATTTCCTGTAACAACCAAGATGAAGGATAGGGATGGTAAAGGAAGAACATTCTAGCAATGCTGTTCATTTAGAGAACAGCACTGTACAAGTACAGGGAAAGAAAAGAAAATGGGTGTGATGAGAGTCTGGAGAGGTGGGTGGGGCCAACCATCACCTTCCAGTACAGCAGTATGGTGGGGGGCAAACTGGGAGGAGGAAATAACTATGTTATTGGAGTCAGGACAGGGGATTTTTTTTAATCCTGGAAAATCTCATACATACATGTAATGTATTTTAACCAAATCCACCCTTATTTCCTGCCATCCAACACTTCCCCTCCCCTCTCTACTCCTTTCTCTCCAACTTCATGTGTTCTTCTAAAACTCACTGAATCCTCTTAGTGCTGCCAGTCATGGAGCATGGGCAGCCTCTCAGGGACCACATCCCCATCCCTGAAGAAAACTGAGTCCTCTTTCACCAGCACCCATCAATTCCCAATAGCTCCTCCACGAGAGGTTGGATTTTTTGAGCATCTACAGGAAGGAGAATTTTTAGAAAGGTTCCAGCCCAGTAGCTTTTAGTGCTGTCTACCCTCCCCAGGGTTCCTTCAGAGGATTTTATGTGGGGCTTTTTAAAAATATATACATTTGATGGTGATGATGGGGTTGCATTGTGCATGGAGGTCAGAAGTACCACAAAGCATGCCATGCAGGACAGCCTTGCCTACAGGGGAAGATTTCAGACTTGCAAGCATGTTGCTGGTCATTCACGTGGGTGAAAACCTTGCCCCAAACCTAGGATTTACACAGTGCATGGTCACACAGTTTTAACATGTAGTAATTCTAGGAATCAAACTACAGTGTAATGAAGAGAAAAACCATCATGGGTTTTATTCAGAACTTTTGTCAAAAACCATTTAACATTTTAGGTCACACTTTTGTGATTTTTGAAAACGCTAGCAAAAGTCAGCGGCTCTGTAGCTGTGACATTCAAATTCTATGTGTGACCATGGCAAATATGTATGTCATTAGATCAAAGTAGTATTGTTATTATAAATTATATTCATGTATCCTTAAAATGTATTATTTGTGGATCTCTAGGCAGTGAGTGGAGAGGCTAGAATGTTGCAGGTGCAGAGGCTAATTATCTTATCTTGGGCTAGCTTTAGCACCCCAAATAACCATTCCTTACCCATCTATTGGTGAAATTATTAAGGCCACTCCACGTAGTTAAAGGGAGATTTATTTAATGGCATAACTTACAAATTAAGGGATAGGTAGGTCGCGGAGTCTGGGGAAGGTGTATCGCAGTCCAGCGGTGTTCTCTGGAGCTCTGCTCGGTCCACCTCCACTATCCAGGGTCCCGCAACAGAGCGCGCCCCCCCCCCCCCCCATCCAGCTCTCGGGTCCCCAGGCGCCTCCCTTGGCCCCGCCTTGTAGGCGTGACAGTTGCTGAAGTCTCAATGGGGCTTGGAACTTCCAGATCAAAGCTGGAATGGCTACCCACTACACCCATCTTTGTGTAGAACTAACATCCTGTGGCAATAGACTAAACACCCTTTGGAAATCTAGCAACAGGCCACTAGCTTCCACCAACCCCAAAGCCCAGAATATTATCAGATAGCATCTATCTGACCTATAGAAAAGGGTTCCCTATCATGCTGTAGCCACTTCTCTGATGTGCCCACCAACGTGGTTTTTGTTTGGTTGGTTTTTTTTCGAGACAGAGTTTCTCTGTGTAGCTTTTTGCCTTTCCTGGAACTCACTCTGTAGCCCAGGCTGGCCTCGAACTCACTGAGTTCTCCTGGCTCTGCTTCCTGAGTGCTGGGATTAAAGGCATGTGCCACTACGCCAGGCCCCACCAATGTGTTTTAAATTTGGCTTGATTCCAGACTTTGTCCTGTAAAACTATGAAACTGCTTCCACTTTGGAACATGGGATTTGAGGTAACCAAAATCTGTGCTCCTGGGCCATGATCACTCAAATTTGGTTCCAGAATAAACTATCTCCTGTCCCCTTTAAGGTGGGAGTTGTTCTCTTGTGTCAACAGCAGGCAGTTAGGAATTTCATGCTAAGAAATTATGATTGTATTACTGGCACTGGCGATTGGATCTAGAGTGACAGACAAGCACTGTACCACTAAGCTCCATCTCCAGCCTCAGCTTCCAGAACAGCTGCGGTTAAAGCCCAGCGGGCCCCCGCACGACATTACGTAACACTCATTTTTAAAGTGGACCGTGGTTCCTCCAGCCTGGGACGCCCTGGCACAGTCCACCTGCTGGCACCTGCCGCTTTACCAAGACACCGGCTCCAGCGGCCTTTCTCGGCTGGGCCCGTCTAGGTCCTCAGAAGTCACGTCCTCAGGCGTCAGACCCCACCGACCGACCACCGTGAGGAAGGGCTTGAGCCCTAGGGGACAGAGGGACACCGCAGAGGCCGGGAGGGGCACCCCGGGACGGGAGGGCAACCCTTCTAGAGGGGCGGGGGCGGGCCGGTGACGCACTTCCGGCCGCGCCGCGGACCGCGCAGCGCAGGTGAGCGCGGACTCGCTGCGGTGCGCGGTGTCCCGGCGGTCCGCGCGGACTCGCTGCGGTGCGCGGTGTCCCGGCGGTCCGCACGCACGCAGCCTCTCCCGCAGCCGGCCTTGCCGCCCACCAGGGCTCGGTGCCCGCGGTGGCGAAGCGTGGGTGGCGGCTACACACCAGGCCCGGAGCGCTTAGCAGGTGGCCGGTCGGAGAAGCAGTGTCCCTGCAGCCAGAGGGTGACTGCGGTGCGGGGGCGAAGCGGCGCGAGGTGACATCCCGAGTCATTTGACGCGCTGCGGCCCTGCAGGCGCTTCAGGTGTGTACTGCGTGTCCCCGGGCCCCAGACAGGGTGAGGGGCGCAGGGCACTGCAGGAAAAGCCGGGCCCCTTCCCAGCCACGGGTGACAGAAGGCCTTGCGGCCTGGTCTGCTGCATCGACGTCAGGCCCCAAAGGTGATACGGCCCACACATGCTCGCATGATTACGACATCGCTAGACTACACACAGAGTCGTTTGAGATTTGCTATTTCATACCCCATGGAAGACAGTACAGCATTTGGATGGATGCAGGTGTCTTTGGTCATAGCCTTGCCGTAGTCAAAATACTGTTTCCAAGGTTCAAAGAGTGTGTGTGTGTGTGTGTGTGTGTGTGTGTGTGTGTGTGTGTGTGTGTGTGTGTGTGTGTGTGTGAAGAAAAAACAAAATAAAACCTATGAGCAGCCAATTAAGAAAGAGTTTGGGTCCTTACTGCTGCATCCATCAGTACATTCGTTCTTCACCAGACTCCCAGACTCGCCCACCCTTAGAGGTAACAACTCTTTTGAAGTCTGTGTTAATCACAGCCTATTTCTAAAAGTGTATCCATATGCACTAATATGTAAATAATTTAACCTCTTTTGCTTTTTGAGCATCTTAGTGTATAGTCAGCTGGTACTTAGTTAATTTCTAAATTCATTAGTGTATTGCCTGCTGGGTAATATTCACTTATCAAAACAATACAGAATCAATGGACAGGCAGGCTGTTTTCAGACTGGTTATGTATAAAAAATAGTACTCATGGTGAATATTTGGTGCATATCTCCTATATATGAGAAGATCCATAGGGATACATTTTTCAAGTTTTTTTTTAATTCTTTGAAAACAATGTATACAATGCATTTTGATCATTTTCAATGCATTTGATCAATTCATTTGATTACTCCTCTGCGTTACCATCTCCTGGACACCCCCATAGTATACATTTTTTAAATTAGGTGTGAATATTGAATTTTTCAAACATCTTTGGCATTGAGATTGACCATGTATTAATAGAGTTGACTTGTTATCTTCAAATTGAATTACATATTTTTTCATTGTAGAATAGGTTTTCTTTTTAAATACCAAAGGATATTTAGAAAAGATAGACATTAATGGCATACACAAAGAACAAAAACTCTAAAAAAAAAAAATCGGTAAAGAACAGGCCACTTAAACATATAATAATAAAACTAGAGCTTATTAGGAAAGTGTGAGCAGCACCAATATATTATAAATAATTATCACATCAGAGACAAATCAGAGTTACTGAGCTCTAAAATAGAAATTAAAATGTAGAACATGAGAACTTCTGAGCCCTCTTGGTTGAGGGCTAATGCTGAGTGAGCCAGAGGGAAACTTATGGTTGAATAGTTTTTAATTGCCAAATAAGAAATAATGAAAATAACTGAAAAACTCCTGCAACTTGAAGAAGGTAGAAGAAATTTAAAATCCTCATGTAGTCTAGGTTTCTCCAGATGTAGAACATAGGATAAAGTTTTTTTGTTTGTCTGTGGGAATTTAACTATGAGTGTGGTCACCTGGACCGAGTGAAGGACAAAGAGAGCAAAATAGAGAAAAAAACTATAGATAAATTAAACCTAACAGTTCAGCTGAGCAAAGAGTGATTTGACACTTGGGCAGGTTGCAAACACCACAACAGCTTGTGAGACTGGGGATGCCACGGCTGGACATTCATAGACAGGAAAGAGGAAGCGCCTTTCTGAAGGGCTAGCTCAGTCGCTTTGTTCCTGGTGCTTGCCTTATTTGAATCTGATTTGACCAACCTGGCCACTGTGATGGGCTGAGACTCAGTTCCTAAGTTAGGTTTTGAATTGTTTATATACCAAATGGGGTTGCAATTCTGTACAGGTCAGGACTCAGATATATGAGTAGGGAGGCTTTGCGAGGTCAATTTAGTTTATTAGTTAGTAAATCAATACAAGGTTGCCTTATCAGGCTTGGCCCTTAATGGCTTCTGTCTTGCAGGGTCTCTAAGGGGCCTTGGAATCTCAAGGATGCCCTTCTAGGGCTAATGGGAAAAGCACTTACCCACCTAATTCTGCCCCCTGCTGGTCAAGGATGCCCTCACGGATGTTTACTTGTCTGCAGTTCAGGGCCCAGCAGACATCTCACACAGAACATGGGAGAAGCCCTTGGGCAGGAATGGGGTATATATGGTATAGCTCCTTGTGCAGGTTGGTTACAGCTTTGGGAAGCTGGTTTGGCATGTCTGTGATCCAAAAATGGACAGTTCAGATTGAGAATGGAGAGGCAGCCTGCTACGTCACTTCTAGCCCAGCTTTGTCAAGGTTAGCTTAGGCTATGCAGGAAGCCAGACTGCTGAGGCCTGCCTGCACAGAAGCCTCAGCCCAGGCTGGCCTTGAACTCTGATCCTCCTGCCTCTAGCTCTTGCGTGCTGGGATCGTGGGTATCACCATCGCTCCTGGCAAGCATTAGGCTTCTTGACACTTACTAATGAGAGCACTGACAGGAAGTAGAGGAGCAGCTGTCCCCTGTCTGCGTGGTGTCTTCCTGCAGCCTGACTCGCAGTCCCCATGTGGATGCTGCACCTAGCTAGCGAACGATGCTTGGTTACAGAAAGGGAAGTGACTTAGACTTGAGGATATTCTCTCTTGAGCTGAATTGTCAGCTCCTGGCCTGCTGGTCTTTAGGCTCTGCCTGAGTTTTGTAGTCACTCCTTTATATGATGCTGGTAGGACTTGCCAAAGCAGAGGCTTCTTGGCAGCCAACTGCAAGCATGAGTGTCCTGGGAAGAATACTGGGCACTTGAGCTAGTGAGAGGACCACTCTCTTCTCTGGCAACTCCTCCTCCTGTCTGCTTGTACCTCAGGTCTTAACTGTACTCCTGATTGGGGTGGCTTGCCTCACATCCCACCCAACCTTCTGTTTCTCCTCAGCTCCAGCCATTCCTTGAGAGGGAGACCAGGTGATGGCAGCCATGATCCCGTCAGTTTGGCCCCAGGTGAGCTGTGGGTCCCTCATCCCTTCCTCTGGGCAGTTCAGATTGAGAACTGAGAAGAGAGCTGGTGAGACTTGGAATAAGAACTGCTTCTACCTGCCAGACTGGACAGGCAAGTGGCAGAGACTGGGGCAGTGACCAGAGAAGGTGGCAGGAGAGTGACCCTAGCAGATGGAGTCACACAAGGGTCTCTGTGCCACTGCACATGAGCATCCTAGCAGAGGGCTTTTGGAGAACAGGGCCATGGAAACCACCCAGGTGGTGCTCTGTGCATGGATGTGAATGGAGGCGCTGCAGAGGTTTGGGATAGTTAATAGCTGGGGTGGGAAAAGAAGAGCTGCAGATGAATGAGAAGGATAGCTCTATCTCCGATGAGGGGGATGGGGAAGATGATGGGAAGCGGGAGCAAGGAAAAGACAGGAGACCTGGGGCCCTTGGTTGGAGGTCTGTGTGGGGAGTCAGGGGGCAAATGGGATAGATGCCCTGGTGGGGTGGGGGACATCTGTTTTACCATATGAGGATGAGGGTGATGAGTGGGGCTAGGGGGTTGAGGTAAGCCGCAGAGGAGCCAGGACCTCACAGGGATGCAGTGAGAACTGCAGATGCCTCCAGCAGCCTGCCAGCGAGGGAGTAGCCTGTCTAAGAGCAGAATTGCTGTAGTGGAATTTGCTTATGGGAATTCTTTTTCTTTCAGCCCAGTGTGAAAATGGCACGCGGTTTCTCTGCTGTAAGAGAAGGCGGATATTCCTTAGTTGACTTTCCTGGTGTTTTTCCCTCCATTTTCCTTTGTTACTAACTTTGTTCTCCTCACAAGCCCCCTCCCCCAAGCCCTTATTTTGCCCTCTGCCCCTCACTTAGGGCCTGAGCCATGGAATTGGCCCTAGGGCAGCCAGAACCTGTTGTTTCAGAAGTCGGTGACCTTTGAGGACGTGGCTGTGTACTTCACCCAGACGGAATGGGATAGTCTGTCCCCTGAACAGAGGGCGCTGTACAGGGATGTAATGCTGGAGAATTATAGGAACTTGGCCTCCATGGGTAAGGCCTCTCTCCCTGGGACTCAGACTCTGCCATTTTGGGTTTCTTGGCTCTTTTCTTCCTAACAGGTGGCAGGTGGGGATCTGGCAATCCTTTATGAGTGGGCTTTCTTTCTTTCTTCCTTCCTTCCTTTCTTTCTTTCTTTCTATTTATTTATTTTTTAAATTTTTGAGACAAGGTTTTTCTGTGTAGTTTTGGTACCTGTTCTGGATCTTGCTCTATAGACCAGGCTGGCCTCAAACTCACAGAGATCCACCTGGCTCTGCCTCCCGAGTGCTGGGATTAAAGGCATGCGCCACCGCCGCCCGGCAAGTGGGTTTTTCTAACTCTTTATGTATAGACTGCTGGAAGAGCGAATCCCAAGCTGTTATAGGACTTTGCTGAGACCAGTGCATGATTTTGAACTACTTTAGAGAAGCTGTATATTGGACATGGTGTGAAAAATAGAAACTTGCTATTCTACAGAGGCGTCTTCAAATTGCCTCTTGCCTTACTTATCTTGAGTCTTTTTTAAGGAATCTCAATGGACTCTGAGTATTTCAGCCCAAGATCAAGAAGTGGTTTCCCTTTTGGGCAAACTCTCCCAGCTTTCTGTGCATGTAGACCCTGGCTCACAATCTGGCCCTTCTCACCCCTACCCACCTCCTTTCTGAGAGATCTTATCTTCCCATTGCTGAGGCGTCTTGGGAGAAGTTAGGGATGCACCTGTGGGAGATTTTCATGTCTCTTGTGTTTCTTCTTCCCAAATCAGGATTTCCACTTCTCAAACCAGCTTTGATCTCACAGCTAGAGGAAGGAAAGGATCTGGGAAACCTGTCTCAGCTGGCCACTGGAACAGACTCCCAGGGCCTCTGGACTGGTAAGCGAGGCACAGATTGCCCAACAACATAAATGTGTGCCACATTTGTGCATTATGCAATGCATTTTTTTCCCAGCTGCCATAGTCTATCTCTGACCCCACCATTTTCAAACAAGGCTGGGAATCTCGCATTGCCATTAAAAGTGGAGGATACAGCCTTAACAACTTTTACGGGGAGACAGACGGAGCTCAGAGCTACAGGCTTTTCCTGAGGTATCATCCCAGGAATCTGTTTCTAGTTCCATGACTGAGTAGGTCAGTTACTTGAAGTCTCTTCAGTCTAGTGAACTCATCTCTGAAAATGTGAAAATAAAAGGAGGCAATGGTACCCACTCAGTGGGCTCAGGACTAAACGTGATAACATATATCAAGAGTTTAGCTTAGTTAAATTATTATCTGTACATTGAGAGGATAAATAAAAGGTGCCCCCATTCCATGCTTCCTGAGTGTTGATGTGTAAATGATTACTTGGGGGTTCTTACAAGTACATAGACTGGCCGGGTGGTGGTGGCACACGCCTTTAATCCCAGCACTCAGGAGGCAGAGGCAGGCAGATCTCTGTGAGTTCGAGGCCAACCTGGGCTACAGAGTGAGTTCCAGGATAGGCTCCAAAACTACTCAGAGAAACCCTGTCTCAAAAAACCAAACCAAACCAAAACAACAACAACAAAAACAAGTACACAGACTGTCAGTAGGCCTTTGGCCCAGCCAAGTGTCTGCATTTATATTCATACTGTGAGGTCCTTAATCAAAGGTGTTTGGTTCCCATTCCATAGGCAGCAAGCAGTTCGTCTCATTTGTTTGGATGAAAAATGAGACAAGCAGTGGGTGGGCAGAGGGAGAAGGTGGAGGGCATGAGGACACTGGTGGCAGTTAAACTTTGAAACACAAAACAAAGGCTTTTTTCATAACTCAGTCCAGTGATTTCTATAGAAGTCTTACTTGCTGGACTTTAGATCCTTTCTGCAAGAGAAGCTGGAAAATATGATTTTGGTGGGCAGATCAGTACTTCAGAAAATTAAGTCAAAGGTATATTAGTAAAGATGAAATAGTCACTGGATATTAACATCTGCCATACTATAGGATTTGGAAGGTCACTAATAAAAGTTGGTAAAGAACTAATAAGTTGTTAATCTGCATAAAATGTATAAATGTTGGTGCAGCAGTGGTGGCGCATGCCTTTAATACCAGCACTCAGGAGGGAGAGGCAGGTGGATCTCTGAGTTCGAGGCCAGACTGGTCTACAGAGTGAGTTCCAGGACAGCCAGAGCTACACAGAAAAACCCTGTCTTGAAAAACCAAAAAAGAAAAAAAAAAAATCAAAAAAACGAAACCAAAGAAAAAAAGTACAGATGTTAATCAATTTGAAAAATATCTATCCTCAGTAGAAACCAAAGACAAACAAGACATAATAATGGAAGAAGGTTGGGACTGCACAGTAGTGGAGCATTGCTTAGAATGCATGAGTTTGCACTGGGTTTGATTTCACAATAGAGAAGTAGTAAGAGTGAGAGATACTTCCCTATCAGAGAACCTAGTCCTGTCAAATGTCAGTGAGGAAGCAAACCAGGAATATGACTTCTGGAGCTGGAGTGAATCCAGTGTGAGCTGGTATCTTTCTAGAAGAAAAGTTGGTACTTGGTAACCTGGATATTGTTTCCTAGAGCCCTAGACTCATAAAGTAATCAGACTATACTCAAAGATGCCTAATGCACTTGAGTATCAAGATAGTGGGAACCATCCCAATTTTTAGGATAGAGAGAATGACTAAGTTGAAGTACTTTTGCAGGTTGAAAGAGTATTTAGTAATTTAGCTACTATATTTTTTGCAGTCTATTTTAAAATATTGGAAAATGTTCACCATGAAGTAAAGGAAAGAAAATCTAGTTCTGAAAAAAATAAAAAAAAAAATTGATTTGAAGGAAAAAGATGTGTTAGACTAGTGGAAGTTACTTTTAAGCACCTGGTAATTCATGTTTTGGGTAACGGAATTTTTAACTGATGTCTTCATCAGTTTGAACTATTGGAACAGAGTACCACAGATTTAGTGGTTTATAAACAACATAATTTGTGTCTTCTGTCTGACTTAGCTTAGGCTGCTATCACAGAATACCATGAGTAGTTATAAGAACATAAATCTCTTATTCCAGTTTGGGAGTTGGGCGTCCAAGAAGATCAAGGTGCAGGCAGATTCTGTTTGACAAAGACTTGTTTCCTAATTAATAGCAGCTCTCTGTTGTCTTGCTGTGTCTTCATAGGGTAGAAGGGAGGAGAACGTCACTAGATCTCCTAAAGCACAGCAATTCCATATGTGAGGGCTCCGCCAAACGTTCCCCCTCCTAATAATGATCACTTCAAAGTTAGGGTTTTTACGGGGGATGGTAGGGGTGGACAGCAACAAAAGAGAATCTGTAGCAACAGATACACATATTTTTAATTTTGAAAAGGCGCATATTGTTTTAAAGTCCTTTCCAGACAAACCCAGGTTTCTTCTGTTGAGAATAATTATAATAAAGTAGTAAGGCAAGGGTATATTTTATTATTTTATTTTTATTTATTCTTCTCTCATACAATACATCCTGACCACAGCCTCCCCTCCCTCCAGCCCTCCCCCAGATCCACTGTTCCTCCATTTCTATTCAGAAAAGAGCCGACCTCCCAGTGATACCAGCTGAACATGGCATAACAAGATGTATTAAGACTAGGCATAGTCTCTCACATCAAGGCTGGATGAGGCATCACGGTAGGAGGAAAAGGGTCCCAAGCACAGGCAAAAGACTCAGAGACCCTCCCACCCCCCCACTGTTAGGAGTCCCACAAAAACCTCAAGCTAAACAACTACAGCTCCTATGAACACTGCTTAGTTGATTCTGTGGGCTATGCTATCCTGGTATCCTTGACCCCTCTGGCTTTTACAATCCTTCCTCCCCCTCTTCCTCAGAGTTCCAGAATATCATTAGTAATCATTTCATTGACTTTGCGGGGGTGGGGGGTGGGGGTGGTCAGCAGTTGTGTTTGGTTCTGTCCAGGTCTCTGAGCCATTCAGCTTCCAGTTCCTGACCATCCTGTTGGGCATGGGCTCCTTTCATGGCTTGGGCCTCAAGTTAGACCAAGCATTGGCTGTCCACTCCCATAAGCTCTGAGACACCATTGCTCCAAACATTGCAGGCAGGAGAGGTGTGGGTAGAAGGTTTTGTGGCTGAATTGGTGCCCCAGTCCCACCACTGGGATCCTTGCCTGGTTACAGAAGATGGAAGGGCATATTTTATGTGGTTGGGAAAAAATGAGACATGGAAAATAAGGAAGTTTTTGGGGGGAGAAATTTGGGGAGAAGTGGTCAGTATTGTAAAAATTACGATTCTATACAAAAGGATGTTTCAAGATTGACAGAAGGCAAGTTGGTGTAGCAGTATTTTAGAAGAGATGGAAAGAGATGGGATGAGTGGGCCTTAGCAGAGCTTTCTGAAGCAGAGAAAGAAGGGTTCAGGAAGCTGGAATGAAGTTCTAGGGAAGACACAGCCCTCCTTTGGCTTTCTCTGTTGCTGCCTGTCAAACCTAGTCTTGCAGCACATCGTTAGGTCCTCTGCCTTTTCTTTACCAATCATTTTCTGCTTTTATTAATAAGGAACTTGATCCATGGGGACACCCAAGAAGGGGTTGTAGGATGTAGGAAAGCATGAGGCGATGGAGAACGATACTGATCTGACGGACAAGACCTAGAATTTTCTTCCAGTGCCATCACTCTTAACCTCTGTGCTGCTGAGGTCGCCTTTTGTGGTGGCCTTGCCTTAGGAGAGTGTGGCTGGGATCATTTTTGATTGATGTAGTCTCGTGTAGCTGTACTTTTCCTGAAGTTTTCTGACAGAGACACATGTTCCTGTCTACTCTTCACATTCTTGATTATACAATTGGAATCTCTTTTACTATTTCTTTTTTAAATCTTATTTTAAAGTATATCCTGGACATTTTTTAATGGTCTATATATATATGGATCTGTTTCCTTCTTTTACCAATGATAATTACACCTTCTGCATGAACCTTAGGTTATTTGACCTAGTCTAGAGATTTTTAAAGATCCTTCTAGAGCAGGGCATGGTGCTGTACACATGTAATTCTAGTACTTGTGAAGTAGATGCAGGAGAATCAATAGTTCAAAGCCAACCTGACAACATATTGAGACCATATGTATAATAAATAGCTTTCTGACTATTTCCCTCCAGCATGGTTCTATATGACATCTTTTAATTTTTACTTCTTTTGGTAGAATATACTGCTATCCAGACTGGCAATAATTTGACAAAAGAAGTGTGTGAAGAAAAAAGGAGTATATTATTTGAACTTCAGAAGGACTTTTCCCAGGAAACAAGCTTTTCAAAAACTTCTATTATAGACCACCGACAGGAAAACCAGTTAACAGGAAGTGCGAAGGAGAAGATCAGTGCCACTGATGGAAGAGTTAAGATAGGCTCCATGGAAGGATATTTATTTAGTCAGACTGCAAATGTGTCCCAGAATCACACCAACTCCACTGGAGAGCAATGTCCTGATACCAAACTTACTAAGAATGAAAGAATTACGACAGAGGGAAGACCTCCAAAACACAAAGAGTTAGCAGACACCTCTCAAGGTAGCTCTCAAGTGAGTCAGCTTCTAGAAAGCTGTACTGTGGAGAAGCCTTACCAGTGTACAGAATGTGGCAAAGCCTTCAGTGTTAAAGCAAAATTTGTTTGGCATCAAAGACTTCATAATGGAGAGAAACCTTTCAAATGTGTGGAGTGTGGGAAATGCTTTAGCTATAGTTCACACTATATCACACATCAGACAATCCACAGTGGAGAAAAGCCTTATCAGTGTACGGTATGTGGAAAAGCCTTCAGTGTTAATGGGAGTCTAGTTAGACACCAGAGGATACATACAGGAGAGAAGCCCTATCAGTGCCGGGAATGTGGAACTGGCTTTGGCTGTAGTTCTGCATACATTATACATCAGAGAACCCACACCGGGGAGAAACCTTATGAATGCAGTGACTGTGGGAAAGCTTTCAATGTTAATGCAAAATTAATTCAGCATCAGAGAATTCATACTGGAGAGAAACCTTATGAGTGTGATGTGTGTGGGAAAGGCTTCAGGTGCAGCACTCAGCTTAGGCAGCATCAGAGTATACATACTGGAGAAAAACCGCATAGGTGTAGTTATTGTGGAAAAGGCTTCACTAAAAATGCAAAACTCATTCAACATCAAAGAGTCCACACGGGTGAGAAACCCTATGAATGCAGTGAGTGTGGAAAGACTTTTAGTGCCAAAGGGAAGTTAATCCAGCACCAGCGAATCCACACAGGTGAGAGACCTTATGAATGTAATGAATGTGGGAAATCTTTTCGGTGTAACTCCCAGCTTCGGCAGCATCTGAGAATCCATACTGGGGAGAAGCCATATAAGTGCAGTGAGTGTGGAAAGGCCTTCAACGTTAATGCAAAACTAATGCAGCATCGGAGAACTCACACAGGGGAGAAACCTTTTGAATGTAATGAATGTGGAAAGTGCTTTACTTCCAAAAGAAACCTACTTGATCATCAGCGAACCCATACCGGAGAAAAGCCATATCAATGTAAGGAGTGTGGGAAAGCTTTCAGTATCAATGCCAAGTTAACTAGACATCAACAAATACATACTAGGGAGAAACCTTTCAAATGTATGGAATGTGAGAAAGCATTCAGCTGTAGTTCTGACTATATCGTGCACCAGAGAATCCATACTGGAGAGAAACCCTTTCAATGCAGTGAGTGTGGGAAAGCCTTCCATGTCAATGCTCATTTAATTAGACACCAGAGAAGCCATACTGGGGAAAAACCTTTCCGATGTGTTGAGTGTGGCAAAGGCTTCAGCCTTAGTTCTGACTGTATTATACACCAGACTGTGCATACTTGGAAGAAGCCCTATGTGTGTAATATATGTGGGAAAACTTTCAGGTTTAGCTTCCAACTTAGTCAGCACCAAGAAGTTCATAGTGAAGAAAAATCCTAATAGATGAACAAAACAGTAACAACACCAAACAAACAAAATACTCCTATGTTTAATAGGAGATGGATCATGGCTCATCAATTATTACTTGGAAGAAAAACATCAAGGGGAATGAATATGGCAGTCTTCATTTGGAAACAATTTTTTTCTGTTTTTAATCAAGATTAGATGAGCAGCTGGAAAGTTATATCTAAAATAACTTAGTTTTATATCAGTAACCAGTCAGGAAATATGAAAGAAAACAACCTATCTCCAGCAGCATCAGGAAAAGTAGATTTTCTAGGAATAATTATTTTGTGGGACTAAAGAAAATTAAGAATTCTCCACTGAGGAAAACCAAAGTAAACAAAAGGGGTGGAGAGAAATTAATTTATTTCTGCTTATTTTTTTACAATGAGAGTGCATTACACTTCCTTTAAAAAAAGGGGGAGGGATAACCATTTTAAAAAATTAATAGAGGTCTTTAAAAATACCAGATCCAGGGGCTGGAGAAATGGCTCAGCTGTTAAGAGCACTGGCTGCTCTTCGAGAGGTCCTAGTTTAATCCCCAGCCACCACATGGTGGCTCACAACCATCTGTAATGAGATCTGATGCGCTCTTTTGGTATGCAGGTATACATGCAGAGCACTCATAAAAGTATTTAAAAAAAATCAGATCCAAAGTAGAGATGAACAATAAGGAAAATATTGGAAAATTACTTAATCATAAATAAACCTATGTGTTTTGTTGTAAATAATTCCAAATAAGTATGAAATGTAAAGCATACACAAAAATGGAAATACTTTTGTAAAATTTGTGATATAAAAATGACATTAACAGGCACTGCTTCAACGTCACAAGCATTCTGAAGAAATGTTCTGCCTTAGTAGTACCCCAAGGAGTGAAAATTCGTGAAGACATTTTTTGCATGTCACATTGAGTCTATGATATGCATATCCCCCAATACTCCGCAGCCCTCAGTGATTATAAATGCTGTATTTGCCATAGATGCCTGCCATACAAGTATAAAATATATTTAACAAAATAGAATGTTCCTATTTTGTCTGAACTCTACAAACATGGCTATGTCCTAAAGGAATGTGTCTGCCTTGGATTTCAACTCCTTATGGTCTTGGGTTCCATGAAAATGTTGGAATTCTCAAGATACTCTTTGAAGTCTCTTACCCACTTAAAAAAAAATCTAAGCCTAATATTAATAAGATCATTTAAGCTGCCAAGAAACTGAGTAACAGCAGTTGATTCTCAATGTTGTCAACTGTTAGTGGGTAGTAAAGGAAGTGTTTTTCTACTCAAAACACTCCTACCAAATATTTGGGTTTCCACACCAGTTCTGTTGTCTGCAGACACCAACTGGATGCCCTCCAATTTATATCAGTTTAGACACTACTCATAATAAACATCCTACTGGTGAAATGGACAAGACTGCCTCAGCCCCTCCTCCTACCCTCAGACACTAGTGATGAGTCCTATTATTTCTGAATTGGCTACAAATTGAACCCTTCTGGGCTCAGTAATTTGCTATAGTAACTCACAGAACCTAAAGAGACAATTTACAGTTACCATTTAAAGAACATCGTGAATGTCACATGAGCAGCCAGATGAAGAGATACTTGGAGCAAGATCCATAGAGTTCCCATGTGCAGGTGCTTTTGCTGCCATGGAGTTGGAGTGCCTTATCGTGCTGAGCCTCGTTGTTAGGGCTTTTATGGAGATTACAGTATGTTCCCATGATTGATGAAGTCCTTGACTGTTAGTAAGTTTCCTCTTCCAGAAGTCAACAGGGGTTGCTAAAAATTCAAACTCTCATAGCACATAGTTGGCTCCTTTGACAACTAGCCCCAGTCCTGGAGCAAGCTGAGAGCCTAACAATAAGTCACTTTAGCATAAAGAGATAACTGCAAGAGACTTAGCTTAGGAGTAACAGAAGATGCTCCTCTCATACTAATTGGGAAACCAAAGGTTTTAGAGGCTCTTATGCTAGAAACTGGAGAGAGACCAAACATTCTTATGCCACAGGCAGAAACCCATTTACTTGGTTTACATCTCCCTGTGTCTGGGGGGTTTTGGTGGTTGTCTTTAGTTCAGCAGTAAGCAGGATAAAATGGAATCACAGCAACATGAAAGCTATCGATTCTATGAACACAGACAAATATTAGGCAATGCAGAGTATTCGTGTTTTTCTTCCATACAGCAGTTCTTTGCAAAATGTCTTCATTTAAAACTTGTGTAATGGCTAGTGAGATGGCTCAGCAGATAAAGGTGAAGCCTGACCCGAGTTTCAATCTCTAGAACCCAAACGGTAGAAAGAACAGAACTCACTCAAGTTGTTCTCTGGCCTCTGTGCATGCATGAAAATAATTAAATTTTAAAAACTAAAATACCTATTATGAAATTAAGCATTTTGATCATTTTGAAGTGTGCAAATTGTCTTTAAAAATCTAATAAATTAAAAAATTGTTGAAACTTCTATAACATGAGAGAATATATTTAAATCAGGGCCTTTTTTTTTTTTTTTTTGAGACTACAATTAGCCTGAGGAAGTACTTGGGTTTAAATATCAGAGGATTTGGGGGAAAAAAATCAGGTTCTAGTGGGATACTTAACAGACATAAGATTATAAGAAAATAAAGATGACATTCAAAGTGCTCTTAAGGACTATAAGGCTGAGGTAAAACAGTCGAGACAATTTTAGTTAGCAGTGTGGACCTGGCCTTCACTGAGCTGAAGTAAAATATATCCTAACAGGGTTTGGACACTTGGGAGCTCTTTTCTACAGGGCAGAGAACAGTGGGAAAGCAGTATCTGACTTTCTGTGAGCTTGTTGAGTTTTTATGAGGAAGCTGAGTCCTAGTAATTCTTGCTGACACAGCACAATAAAACTACTTTATGCAGGGTGGTGGTGGTGCACACCTTTAATCCCAGCACTTGGGAGGCAGAAGCAGGCAAATCTCTTGAGTTCAAGGCCATCCTGGTCTACAGAGCGAGTTCCAGGACAGCCAGGGCTACACAGAGAAACCCTGTCTTGAAAAACAAACAAAAATGTACTTTGTATTACCCTGGGGAAGAGCTAATAGTCTGAGTTGAGATGCAACATCTAGTATCTCAGGTGACAAATGTCTCAGACCAAGTCTCTTTGTACTGGTGTAAAAAAATCCATGTTGATAAGTATAATATGTCACCATGAAAACATCTGTGTAGGATGAAGTGGGGGCAGACAGCATGGATAACAGGTTTTCTTGTTTGGGTGAGGATCTTTCCAAGGAATTCATGTTATACTTGGTGTCTTAGTTACTGATCTGTTGCTGTGGGAAGACACCATGGCCAAGGTAACTCATATTCTTTATTTGATCTTTAGTATTTAATTGAGGACTTGCTCACAGTTTAAGAGGGTTAGTCCATTATGGTGGGGAGTGTGGTGGCATGCAGGCAGGCACTGTGCTGGTCAAGTAACTGAGGGTTACATCCTGATTGCAGGCAGAGAGACACTGGGCCCAGGATGGGCTTTTGAAACCTCAAAGCCCATCCCCAGTGACACACTTCCTCTAACAAGGCCACACCTCCTAATCCTTCTCAAATAGTTCACCAACTGTGGACTAAACACACAATATATGAGCCCGTGGAACCCATTTTCATTCAAATCAGGGTACCCAGTGTTAAACGATGTGGCATGTGTCATTGGTAGCCCATTTAAGTGGAGTAGAGAGCCTTTGGGACAAGACGTCATACTGGAGAAAGACTGCGTTTGGTGCTTGCAGTCTGGACACCAGCAGAACACAGCAGTCACTGGAGTGGAGCAGGTTTGTGAGTCTACATGTGACCCCTGCCTGGGGTGGGCGTGGGTGCACCAAATACTACTGTGAAGCATTCTGGAGACTACAAGGAGTGTCACGTGGATTTCTGTTCCTGCCAGCAGCTGGAGAAACCTGAGGGTCCTGGGAGATGTCCCTTGTGCCTTGCTGGACTGGCTTCCTACTGTGTGGAAGAATGGTCCTCTGCAGTTCTGAGCAGGCACAGTGGATGTGCTTTAGGTACAAGGCTCCCTTTCTGCCTCAACCCAGAGCCACCAAGGGCAGCAGTACCCCTCCCTAGCTTCCTCTGCCCCAAGTAAGTTATCTCACCTGCTCATCCGAAAGGGAGAGTTCTGACAGTATGGAAGCTGTAACATAAACAGCCCCACCCCCACCCCCACCCCCAGGAAGCTTCCAGCACATTGAAATGCACACAGAGCAGGGCTTCTTGGAGCCTATAGAAGGATCACACTTGAACATTGGCATGAGTAGGTCTGGGGACAAGATACACATGACTAACAGGGAGGCTATGTCCCCTTGCGTGTTCTGTCCCATCTTCAGTCACCTATCTGCACAGCACAGTCTGTTCTCACATACTGCACAACCAACCATAACACTCACCCTCACAGACGTCCACACAGACGGAGTACCTGTCCAGTACATGTTTACATGCATGCCCACAGGCTGTGGGGACAGAGGGGATACCTCCAGTAGAGGCAGTCTCCCCTCTCTCCCCCTGGGGCTCTGCTTCTGGGGTTAGTAGGAGCAGAGTTCTGGCTTGTATAAGTGATATGACCCCTAGAGAAACACAATACTAACTATGAGGCAGATCTAAGGGAAGGCTCCACTCCTCCCACATCCACAGTCCTGGCCAGGCTCTCCTATATAGCCTGGCTATACAGGGATATCTCTGTGGCCCATCACCCCACACCTAGGAAAGTTTAGACCACATGATGTAGGCCACACACCTGCCTGGATAGAGCAGAGGGCCTGGGTATGGGCTGCCAAGGTCACACAGAGACTAAATGTGGTATCCGGGAGACATCCCATGAGAAAGCAGGATCCTAGAGGGGGTACTGACGCAGTCCTACCATCCAGAGTTTGCAGCTAGGCTCTGCAGGGGAGGGGAACAATGCTTTTCTCATCTACCGTCTCAGTGTCTTAGTGCTCCGTGACATAGGCTTCCTAGGGTCAGCACTCCTGCTCCATTGAAATAGACACTTTGGCTTAGGAGCTTGGAATCAAATTCAAACAGACCCAGGTTTCAGGGCACCTGGGAGGAAAGTGTGCATGGCTCACCTGTGAGAGCAGATTGTATCTGCCCTGTCCATAACAGCATCCCCCAAAGGCAAACAAGCCCTTCTAAGGAACCCAGGTAACTGGGGATGTTACTGTCTTCTGGATTCTCATGAGGTTACGGGGGCCTGATGCTCAGGCCACCCTCAGTGTACCTCACCTTCCTCTATCTTCTCTCTCTGTGAGCATCTCCTCTCCACCTTTGTCCATCCTCCTTTCTTACAGACCTCCCCCCTTGTTAGTTGTCTCCCATCTCAGTCCCTAGTGGCCTTAACTGTTTGCAGAGCTGACTCAGAGAGCCAGGGACTGACAGGGGCAGGCATCTCATCTTCCTAAAGCTGCACAGGGTCCTAAGTGGATGACAAACCCTTTTTCTGGTGGCTGGTAGAATGTCCTGTATGCTGAGGGGTGAGGGGTAGGGGCATGTGACAAGAAGTCTCCTGCAGAGCTTATAGAAACTTCTTAGGGCCCACTCAGCCTGGACCCTGACCAGGTGTTTATTACAGATACCCGGGGGTATCTTTGTTAAAAGTGAGGCCTCCTTTCCTCAGCAACCCTTTCTTGATTCTGTGACCTTCTACATGATGTCTTCAGATTCTTCCATTTTGAGATCTCATCTTAGTTATGGTTACTATCACTGTGATGAAACACCATGACCAAAAGCAGCTTGGGGAGGGCAAGGGTTTATTTCATTTACACTTCCGGGTCACAGTCCATCATGAGGAAAGTCAGGACAGGAACTCAAACAGAACAGGAATGCAGAGGCAGGAGCTGATGCAGAGGCCGTGGAGGGGTGCTGCTTACTGTCTTGCTCCTCATGGCTTGCTCAGCCTGCTTTCTTACACAACCCAGAACCACCACCCCAGGGGTGGCCCCACTCACAATGGACTTGGCTCTCCCACATCAATCACTAATTAAGAAAATGTCCTACAGGCTTGCCTACAGCCCGATCATATGGAGGCATTTTCTCAATTGAGGATCCCTCCTCTCAGATGATTCTAGCTTGTGTCAAGTTGGCATAAAAACTAGCCAGGATAGATCTATGGAACAGAGCATGTGGACAGGATAGAGACTAAGTCCCATTGGCCTCTATGGCCCAGGGCCCAGCTCATGAGAGGATACCCAATCTGGTTCTTAGTCAGTTTGCTTTCAGACAGAGATAAAACTGTGGAACTCCCCCTAGACAAGTCTGTATTTCACACCAGTAGTTTCTCTACAGTGTTGAATTTCCCAGCAATAAGCCTTGCCCACAGTGCCTAGTCAAGATCCTCTCTTCTGCCCCTGCCCTGCTTGACCCCAGACTCAAGCCAAATGGGAGCTGCCTACCCCCAGAGACACAGCTATTGCCTAATCCACTTCAAGATAGATGGCTAATTTGCTTTTGTTGATAGAGCATCCAAAGAATGTCCCCTCTGAAAAAGTCACAGATCACCATTGTTGCACTGTCTCCAACTGAGTGTCCTTTGGGAGGCTAAATAGTTCATGACTGTCCTTTGATAGAATCACCCAGATTCTCCTTTGTCTGATGGATGGAGAGGGGCTGTGTGAGAATGTGCATCTAACTGGATCATCTGTCCCCAGCACTGAGGGCCTTCCTGGACTCCTGGTACCCTGACTTGCCTAGAGATGCTGCCTTTGCTCACTTGCTTCCTGGGGCCTCTTCTGCAGCATGCCCATGTAGATGAGAGCTGAAGGCATGGCCTGAAGGGGCCCCAGGCCCTGGGAGCCCAGGACAACTCAGGTAATTTATCAGTCTCTATCTGTCCCCTCTAAGGATTTTATGGGGCTGTAACAAAAAGCTTGTAAGGGAGTCAATCCAAGGAAAAGTAATAATGACAACTCACAATACGCAGGAAACAATATTTTTCTACATCTCATACTGTGATTTGAGTTCTGACTGATGGTAGCAAAGACAGGGGCTGCATCTGGTCTCACATCTGTAAGAAAATTTCCCAGAACCACCGTTAGCATCTATTTTATTCTTGAGTAGGTAGACAGACATTCAGACAGAAACAGGGATGGGGGTGAGCCAGCAGAAAGACAAGGTTCCAAGAGCATGAACACCAATAGATACCCATATCTAGCTGTAAAAAAAGTCAATGGCAGGTGGCTGTTCTAGAAAGCAGGTTGGTGGTTGTCACCAGGAACTGCCATCATGTAGGCATTGTCTCAAACAGTCAGACTGTGGCACCACCCCACGTTAGCTTCAAGTTTGTAGGGCTGTGAAAAAATTGAGCCCAGCTGGTTTATCCCCCCGGAGAGTCAGAGGACAGTTGGGGGGAAATATTTAAAAACTCGCAAAAGCATTATTTTTACCTATATCCCACTTTTTGGATATCATATTTCTTTGTACACAGCTGAGGTAGGAGAAGTGTCTCC